TTTGTAATTTGAAACTTTTTACCCGATTTAATCGCCACTATTCTTCCTAAACTATCCATTATAGTTAATGGATCATGACGTCTCTCTGTGGAACACTGACGATCAAATTCAACTCTGAGACTTTCCGCTCCTGAAAAAAGAGAATGTTCTTATTTAAATTATATTTTAAACTTTACGTCAAGAGTAACATTTACTTCATTTTTACATTTTTAAATTTTATATTTGATTTTCTCACGTTTAAATGTAAGTTTTTCATTACTTTTAAGATACTATTGAAATTTTTGAATAAACTGTAGTGCACAATTTAATAAAAAATAGAAAAAAGAATCCTTAAGAGTCAAAAAACTGATTGATAAAGAAAGTTTGTAAAAATTAAACATTAATTGTAATAATTAAATTAAAATTTTAGATAATATTTAAGATCCAGAAATAGTTTCGACATAATGAATTATCATCAACCTGGAATTTTTACATGACCAGTCAAAGTAATGTCGTCAATATACGGATGACTGGATTCTTGTATGACTGGACGAGGTCGCATTCTTGTAACATCTGTATCGGCTGCCACATCTTCTAATTCTGTCACACACAGTTCTAATAACATTTCTCCTATCTGAAATTATATTGATTAATATGTTAGTTAAAATAAATCTTTCATTTAACTGTTTTGTCTNTGCTGTCTATTACTGTGAACTTTTGGAAAAACTGAAGAAAGAAATCGAAGAAAAGAGGCCACACTTGAAGAAGAAAAAAGTTCTGTTCCACCATGATAATGCACCTGCACATTCCGCCAGAATCACTGAACAAAAGATAAACGAACTTCGCTTCCAATTAGTTCCACATCCACCGTACTCACCTGATTTGGCCCCAGAGACTTCCACCTTTTTCCAAACCTAAAAAAATTCTTGGCTGGAAAGAGATTCCACTCAAATGACGAAGTCATCTCTGAAGTGAACGAGTATTTTGCACACCTTGACAAATCAACCTATTGTGATGGCTTATTAAAATATTTATGAAATTACAAATATTAAATTTATCAAGAGATGATACCTAATGCATGCCTCTAGTGCCATATTACTTGGCATTTGATTAATAATAATAGTAGTGTTAGAGCCCTACGTAATTTCGTTATATTTCAGTTTTAAATTTAAAATGTCAAATAAATAGAACAGAGGTGAAACAGCAACATGGATTGATTGTTAACATTAAATATGAAACAAAATATCTCAACTAAGCTAGATTTTATATCAGCGTTCTAAAATTTGTTTTCATTTTGCCTGAAGAAGACATTCTATACATGTCGAAAGTGCTTGCGAGATTTTTATGAAACTGTATTAATGCCAAAAGATTATCTTAAACTTTTATCTGATAGAAATCTGGCATGACAAAATAATAATTTTATATCAACATTTACAAAGCAATATCCATGTGTGGAAAAAGGGTCTTTATCTTGATAGTTAATAAATCCATAGCTTCTATTGGTTTTATATATTTCCAGGATTTCTGTGTTTTAGACTAATCAGATCATTCGTAGATGTAGTAATTCTTTGGGAATTTAAGTTACTGGATAACTAAGTCATGTTCAATGCTATGATAATTTTATCTTTATTCCTGGAGAGATAGGTGCTTTAAAATTTTAAGGATCTCTTAGTTCGTGAAATATATTTTTATTAAATTTTGCTGGTATATTTTAAATAGTTCTTTTCTTGAAATATTGTAAGAGCCAATAACTATAAATTTTTTAATTTTTATTAACTAGTTACAAATTAACATTTCTTATTATAAAATCTTTGTTATAATTTAATAGATAGTCTTAGTAATATCAGTGTAAACAAAGTATCCCATTATATGCTTTTATCATAAATTAAAGCTATGTTATAATATTAACCAATTGGAAGAGACCTTTTCTTATAACAGTGCCAATAATATATAGCAAAATACTGACATTTATCAAACATGGCAAACAAAATAGATATTTTCCTTATCCAACATTGAGAGGCTTAAAACAGTTCACAAATTATATAATGTTTCCTAGAACTAGTGCTGAATATTGGGTACCATTTTTGTACTAAAGTATCAGATAAATAGTTACCATATTTGAATATTCAGATTTCTGCTTAAAAGATTGTGTACAGCATAAAAAATTAAGATTTGATTTTGCAAACTAAGCTAAATTGTTAGAGAAATAACCCTTTTTTAAAAGAAATTAAATTATTAAAATTTAAATAGTTTACAGGATTTATTAATTAACCTTTCAACAGTGGAATAGTTAGGTATGGTGCTACCCCTTAGTAATTGAGAATAAATGTGCAAAATTTTTAAAGTACTTTCCATGTGTTTTTTTCTCATTACTGTTTCAGAAAAAAAATTTGTAAACAGTTATATCTAGTAAAGAAAAGTCTTTTTTTTATTGTTACATAATTCATTTTTTAATGTGAATTTTTTTTGCGGTAGTTTTAGGCTACTTTTTGGCAATAACTCCCAAAAGAATTTGACGTATATATTTGTCCCTCACCACTGCTTCACGATTGCCCTTGACGAATGTACGAGGGCTGTTCGGAAAGTTTGCGGCCTTGCCTATATACGGCGCTGCGATCAATTTAATTTTTGGCGGGAATAATTCAGCCATCTTTGCTAGAGATATGATACCAATTTCCACTTGATTTGTCAAAAAGTTTTGCCACGACAGCTTAGCAGATAGTCAGTGTGCACATGCTTTGTCAAAAATGGAGAAGACGGAAACTCGTGCAGTTATAAAATACCTGACGAAAAAAGGGTTGACCCCATCTCAAGTCAAAGCTGACATGGATGAAGTTTTGGGAGAGTCTGCTTCTTCATACACCACTGTGAAAAAATGGACAGCCCTTTTTAAATCTGGCAGAGAGAGTGTGGAAGATGACCCTTGCAGCGGACAGCCCTTTTTAAATCTGGCAGAGAGAGTGTGGAAGATGACAGTCAACTGCTGTCACTGAAGAAAATATTGACAAAGTTTACGATTTGGTATTAGCAGATCGCCGTTTGAAAACGCGTGAGATAGCTGAGACAATAGGCATCTCTGTCGACTGAGTGCACCACGTCCTAACCGAAAATTTGGGTATGACGAAGGTCTCAGCAAGGTGGGTGCCGTGTCTGCTGACCACTGAGCAAAAACGTGTTTGCACTTTGATGTCAAAGGAGTGTTTGGACTTCTACCAGAAAAACCCACAGGATTTCTTGTGTCAGTTTGTGACTACTGACGAAACATGGATCCATTACTACATTCCTGAAACAAAAGAACAGTCGAAGCAATGGAAACACCACAGTTTGCCACCACCAAAGAAGGCAAAGACAGTTCCATCAGCGGGGAAAGTGATGGCCTCGGTTTTTTGGGATGCTAAAGGCATCATCTTTATTGACAACCTAGAAAGAGGAAAGACCATTAATGTTGTCTATTACTGTGAACTTTTGGAAAAATTGAAGAAAGAAATCGAAGAAAAAAGGCCACGCTTGAAGAAGAAAAAGGTTCTGTTCTACCATGATAATGCACCTGCACAAAATCACTGAACAAAAGATAAACAAACTTTGCTTCCAATTAGTTCCACATCCACTGTACTCACCTGATTTGGCTCCCAGTGACTTCCATTTTTTTTCAAACCTAAAAAAATTCTTGGCTGGAAAGAGATTCCACTCAAATGATGAAGTCATCTCTGAAGTGAACGAGTATTTTGCACACCTTGACAAATCAACCTATTGTGATGGCATAAAAAAGCTAGAACATCGCTGGAATAAGTGCATTGCTAACAAAGGAGACTACATTAAAAAATAAAAAAAGTTTTAACATTATTTTGTTTGTTTGTTCTATTTGAGGCTGCAAACTTTCCGAACAGCCCTCGTATTTGTTGCTCACTGCTGAGTGGTTAATTTTATTATTAGATATTTTTTCTTTGAACTCAGTTTTTTCAGTACACTGTAGAGTCTCTTCTGTAACTATACTGGCTTTAACAACAAAAACATATTCATTTAATGTTTGAAAATATACAGTAAATATTTATTAATCTGTCTTAATCATAGTTTAGGTTTTTGATCTTCTTAATACAACATTGTACATTGAAATGTATTAGTGCTTGGTTTTAGTAAATTATTAGACAATTATTTTTAGTATTTCTTATGTGTATGAGATTTATATCTTTTACTGTCAATCTTTTTTACTGTTTTACTTTATAGTCTCTCCTTGACTTACAATGGTGTTACATTCTGACAAGCACATCATAAGTCAAAATAAAAACAAATGAATAAAAAATAGGCTATATGCAAGGTTATACAGTACATAACATTCCATATTGTATATTATGTAACATGAGTTTGGACTATCATAGATTGCATTAGCCCAAACTTACTAGTGGTTGCCGTAACTGTCATGCTTAGATATTATCTTAAGTTTTTCATTAAGACACAATGTGGTAATTTGCAGACATAATGAGTACACTGTAAAACATAAGAAGATATAAAATGGTATATATAAAAAAGCCTCAGGAAAAATCATTTATCCATTAGTAGAGCAGCTTGAATTCAAATTCTGTTTTCTCACACTTTTGCTTCACTCACATTGGCCATTGCATGTCAAAGAACATCTATACTAGAATTAAAGATATTTGTAATAAATGTAAAATACCATTATATTTTTTCCATTCCAAATGTGACCAATTATCCAAAATTATCCCACCCTGATATTTTTGGATAATCAAATTTTATTGTGTTTGTAATTTTTTTTTGTACTTTGAACTAGTCCAAAAATGAAAATTTAAAAATTCACTCTCAAACTGAGGGTGTGAAAGGTAATTGTGAAAAGTTTAGAAAGTGTTATTAGGAAGTGTATTTTTTTAATCAAAAATTTTATTTTCTATAAATTTATTTATTTCAAATAGTTTTTGCAACAGTTATTGTGGATGATCAAGTTTTTCTTGATTTCAGAATTTAATATTAATAGGATTCAATTATATTTAAAAATTTTTATTGTTTAGGTCAAGGGGAAGCTATTTATGAAATTGGTGTAGAAGATGGAGGGATGCTGGTTGGTTTAACTTCAAAGGAAATGGCTGCATCTTTACATACTCTTTATTTAATGGCAGAAAAACTTGGAGCAACTCTTACCGTATTAAGAGAACGAACGGTATCTGTTAATTTAAATGAAGAACCCAGGAAAGCTGCTGAGGTGAGTTTCCAGTCTGAAAAAGTTTATAGTATATGGTGATATTGTTTACCAAATTAATATGTTTAAAATTTTGAATAAATAAAACATATGAATAATTTAGTGATATTTGGAAGATTTTACAAAGGATAGTGTTTTATTATGTGTTAACTGCTCTCTGAGTAAAAAGTCAGTTTGATTTTAAAGTAATTTATTATTAATAGTTTCAAAGCTAATAGTGGATTATAAAATAATCTTTAGACATAACAGTATATATTTTAGTAAATTTACTTAAAATCCTATGGTTAATTATACAAGCACTATAATTAGCTCTTGTTAGGACTTACCACACACTATTGAGAACTCACTCAGAGATTGGTGAACATTAAATATTTATATGTAAACACTACATGCATTTAAGTTTTAATTAAGAATAATCAAACTTTCCAATATCTTGTAATATAATGAATTTAGAATAATACTAGTCAATTGACTGACTATCCCAACTGTAAAATTTGTTTGTTTGTAAAAAAAAACGCAAGTCATTTATTAACTTCACAAATATTCTATATTAAAAACTATCAATTATAGATAAACTTCTCTTAGTTTATGGAATGCAGTTCTAATTTTAATGTCATCTTAATTATGCACATTACTAACAAAAAAGTGTATTAAAACAAAGGGTGGTGCACAAAAAAGTAGCCTCTGTCTAGTGCCAAAGACTTGAACCAGTGTATCACATGGAGTGAGCAAACTATATTGAGGGGACTGTTATGTTCATTGAACTTCAGTGTCCTGTATTATGCAAATTCACATGCAATACAAGAATGATGGGACATCATTAGCCACACAATCACTGCCATTGATGTCACTATGTTACACCAGGTATTCCTAAATATGATTTGATGAGTATAGCTGTGTATAAAGGCTGAAAGTGGTCATCTGTTGCATTTTCTATGACAGTGATACCAGCAGTTGGCTTTTGTGTTTATTACTTTGTATTGTTCTGCATTTTTGCTAAGCTACAGACGGGCTACTTCTCTGTGCCTAAGCCTGTAATAAATTAAGTTCCAAAATATTATTTACTTTTTATTTTCAGTGTATTATGTAAGAAACTACATAACTAAAAATAATAATTTTTTTTTCCTACACTTATTTTTTTCAGATTATTGAAAATGTATAGATATATTTCTGCAAAAAAAATTACTGCCTTAATAGATTATTCAATTAATTATAAAGTGCCATAAATTCAATGAGATTTTAACTGGTATTTAAAATTATATTTTTAAAAGGTGTTAGTACGAAAAGTGCCGGACGATCAGCAGACTATAGAACTCCGTGTTGCCGTATTAGGGAATATGGATGTTGGAAAAAGTACACTTCTGGGCGTTCTGACTCAGGGTGAACCCGATAATGGGCATGGTAGTGCCAGATTAAATTTGTTTCGCCATCTCCATGAAATTCAAAGTGGTCGTACATCTAGCATCAGTCGTGAAATTCTTGGATTTAATTCTCATGGTTCACCAGTGACTTACGGTCTCTGCCGAACTGCTGAAGAAATCTGCGAAACCTCATCAAAATTAATAACATTCATTGATCTGGCTGGCCATCACAAATATCTTCGAACAACTGTTTTTGGATTAACTGGTGAGTTATATTCAGAATATATTTTATATATTCAAATCTTCTGAAATCTTGTTTTAAGTTAATAATAATAGTATAAAGTATAGCACATATTAATTATTTATATTTAAACAAATCTGTAGATATGTTGAACTATTTTTGATTCGTTGCTGTTGTATGTATGACTATAACTAGGCCAATACAGTTGCTATAGTTATATACTTTTGTACAATTATTACAGTCAATACAGTTTGTCTAGCTAAGAATGTGTAGAAAATTTTTTTAAGCATTACCATATCTATAAGATATTACTTATTCAGAAAAGAAACATTTTATTTTTTTGCATAAGAAACCAGAATTTGGTTTCTTATGTAAATGCTTAATGAATTTATATTTATTTTGTACTGTATAAATCCAATCATCTCCATTTTCCATTTCTGGTTTTCATTTTTATGTAATGTCTTTAACATTGTGCAGTTTTCTTGCTATTTTATTTTGTTTGAATTTATGAAAATATAGTTTTAGAAGAGTTTTGATTACAATTAAAAGCCCTAAACAATAAATTAAAACATAAACAATAAATAAAATGTGTAAATACTGTATAGTAAAGTGAAAATTGCCACTACTGACTAACATACAGTAAATATAATGTCTCATTTCTTAAGGTCATGAGAAAATTCTTTCTAATATGGATAAATGAGAAGCAATTGGCTGGTAATATTATTTCCAAGAAGATTATTTGTGAGAATGCCAATCAAATACATGTTCCTTTTTTATCTCAATAGTCAATACTACAACTGTCCTCTTATGATTCATTGCTTTCACACATTTCCAGGATGCCAAGGTTAATAGATAGGTGGTTATATATACAATCAAAAATGCCAAAAATAAAGCACATAATCCACAGAAAACATGAGCATAATGCAAGAGATGCTTTCACTGTGAGATCAATAGACAAATTGGGCATATAACATATGGTGTTTATGCAGTAAGAGCATTTTTCACTGCATGCACAGTTTGAATGTGGAAGCATTGAACTCTGGGTTGAATTTCTCTTAAATTTAACATTCAAACTCTGAAACATTCAGAGTATGAGGTACCACTGTACATTTGTGTGCAATGGCCCTCATACATCATTTTTAAAAACAGCTTCCTAAATTTATTTGTAAACAAAAAAATTTTTAATACATAATTTTATATTTGCAAAGTTTTATTGACCCCATTGGAAGCTCTTTTATAATGACTGATAATTACCATTTTTGAAGTTGGAAACAACAATAATTTGCAAACTTAGAGGCAATTATTTACAAGATCTGCTTTTTCACAAGCAATGTAAATAAAATTGTATTATGTAAAGAATTCAATGGTATTTTTGTTTTGCTTATCACATTCTTTGGAAATTATAAAGAAAGACATAGAAGATAATTTTTGTCCATTTATACAGAGTAGATACAGTTTGAAATTATCTTCTTAATATTTAACTACTACCATATTTTCATGGAATGATTGGTATGTCAGTCCACCTGGAGTAGGCTTTCTTCACCTGGCTGTTTTTTAACCAGAGATTCTTCTCATCCCGCGAAATCCCACAAATTTCTTAAAAATTCACTATTTTCTTATTTTGTGTTAAAGTTATTATTATTATTATTATTATTTTGGAGGTTGCAGATTGTGTTAAGTTACTTAAAAATAATTATATTATTCGATTTTAAGATTTATTTTATATCTTAAAAATAATTAATTATATCCCGGGAAACAGTTCACTTCTTTCCTGTAATCCCAGGACAAGCAAAAGACCGGGAAATGAGAAACCTTAATCTGGGGAGACCAGGAAATTCAGATATTTCCGTATGGCATGCTGATTTACATGAGGTTATGCACCCCTCTCTAGAGGGGGCATTAAAAAAGAAACAAACAAGTTACATCACATAAAATGAACGAGTTTTTATTCTAAAACTGTGAAACTTGGTGTTACATCAAAAACAGCAATTGTGTGTTTAATTTCTTCATTTTGTTGTCTTCTTTCTAACTATGTAAAATATTCTTGGAATTCTGAAAATGCTTTATGCAAAAATAAACATATTAATTTACAGCAAGTTTAGCTTGACTTACTCCTATTAACATTGGCTTTCTGGGAAATTTGAGAGAAAGGTGGTATTTTTAAGGTTGGGGTAGAAGGTTAGTGTATCCCACACTGACTTATCACCACCATCACCACCAACACCACCACTGTTAGTAAGTCATTAAATGTTTTATTGTCTTGTAAATGAAAACTGTCTTCCTAATTTTAAGTCATTTAAATTACAATGTTGTTATTTTATTGTACTGAGAAGAATGTTTTCTTTAATGTTCAATTAATGACTAGTTTTGTTAGATCTGATTTAATTTTAAATTTTTGTCACTGTTTACCTGGAATGCCGGTCATTTTGTGAAAATAAGGTATATTATATATAATTCAGCATATTTTTTTATAATAGTTATAAAAACATATAAAAACCACAACTGGATGTAAAATGTTGTTTTTTTTTTTTTATTAAAAGATGTGATTTCAGTTATTTTTTTTTTGCCAATAAATAAGTTTACTTTGGAAAAACAAATTAAATATTTTAGCTTTGCTTCAGTTTCAGTTGAAATTGGATTTAATTAATTAGTTTGGTACTTATGTGTTAAGAGGACGCCAGTCGGAAATAGCGATCAAAGTCGTGATTTTGAATGAAAATATCAAAATAACAATAGACTAGTAAATTTAAATCTAAAAAGAAAAAAAGTTACTGATAAGGTTGTAAAAATGAAAAGAAAAATTAATTAGGATGATAGATATTGCCTATTTACCGGTTAAAGTCCAGATACGTATACCGTCATGGCGGCTCATCTCTGATTCCAGCAAACAAAAGGAAACAGTGGGGACGCACGTTCTAACCTAACCTAACCTATACTATTAATTTGATTGGTAATAATTATGATAATTTATTAAAATAGGTTAGATTAGGTTAGAACGTGTGTCCCCACTGAACTGGCGTCCTCTTAACAGATAAGTACCATTAGTTTTATAAATGGAACTACAGTTTGGGGCAAAAATGAAATCTTGAATGCTTTCATTATAAAATTAATCATTTTGACAATATCTGTTGTGTTGTATGAAAATTATCTGATGTTGAGATTAATAAATACAAAAGGACTTAAGTTTATGAATGTTAAATTTTAATCTAAATGTTTATTTTATAATTCAATTTGATATTGAAATTTCTTATTATTAAGATGCAACAAATTTTATCAATATGAATTGTTTCAGGCCACTCTCCTCATTTTGCAATGTTAGTAGTAAGTGCTGTCTGCGGAGTAGTAGGAACGACGAGGGAGCACTTGGGCTTGGCAATGGCGTTGGAAGTTCCTATTGTAGTCGTCGTCAACAAAATAGATTTAGCTAGTCCTGCTGCCTTACAGTCTACGTTGAATCAATTGCACAGGGTTCTTAAAGGACCAGGTTGTAAAAAGGTATTGTTTTTGAATTTATATTTAATTTAATATACCTATCATAGTTACTTTACTTTTTCATTCATATTTATGCTGTTATAATTGTTGTTATATCCCACTATTTGTTATCTTATTCATATTATCATATTATTTTTAATTGTAATGTGTTTTTATAGAGTATTTAACACTTACTTTTTTTTTCAATTGTTATTACATTATATCAACAGTATCAACTTTGAAACAAAATGTTTAGTAGATGCATAATTTCTGCAGATGTATAATGACGTATATGGACAAATGAGATAGCTTTTAGCATAACTCTCCATTTAATCTGAGGATTTTATAATTCAGTGTTATATTGGATTGATGAATATGAAAACTGAAGTGATTCTTAGGCCAGTACAAAGTACTCAGTTCTTGAATCATAGTCTCAACTTTATTAAGTCTCATGATGAATTTTGCTTTATGCACTAAGATCATCATCAATGAGTCACATGATGATCTTAGTGCATGAGCAAAATTCATCATGCGACTCATTGGTGAGCCATGACTAAGGCTTGTGTTTGCAATGTTTCATAAACTGAGAAGAGCAACTGTTTTAATTAGCCTGAAATGAAAGCAGCTTTTCTGGTGTAGTCTAATTAATCACAAGCAGAGAAATGCAAATGTCTTTGGTTTCACATATTTTTCTATCTGTGTGAACATGTATACATAAATATACAGCATTTCTTTATTGTAACTTAGTAGTTAAAAAGAGATTAAAACTGGATATACTTGAAAGACAAGATATCATCAATGGGTTAAGTGGTATGAAATGATGATAGATGTACATGCTACATGAGAGATTTTCAAAACCCTCTCAAAGCTTACAACAATATAAACTTTGTGCACTAATACTGCTTATTGAAACAAACTTATTTATCTGCTAAATGAAGTTGGAAGTGACCGTAGGAATGAGAAGATAGCCTGCAATACCAATACATTTTCAATTATTTGCCTTTAGATTTTATGAATGATGAAACTTTTACAAAAAAACACCTCTCCTGAAGTGTAGCAAATAATAAATATGCTTAATAGTATTGTTCCTGCAAAATGCCACTAATTCATAATTTGCAGCTACAAGTTAAACTATCCTGTGGATAAAATCATTTGAACAAAAATATCCTTAAAAGTATAATAATTCCTATTTATATTATTCATATTATGCTTACATTATATTGGGAATTTATTTTTACATTAAAATTGTCATGATATGGACATGGTCTCAGTTTGTTGGTATGCATATTTCTACTAACATTGCACAACAGTTCTGCCATTCTGGGAATCTGGGAATGTATCCAGCTGGATCAAAAAATCCAGGAAGTTTTTCGGAGTGGTAAATCTCTGAAATGTTCAATCACCCTTACTTTTTGACATCCTCCATAATCCCCTCTAATGTCCACAGGTGGACAGAGTCAAAAATAAAAGATCATGTATACTTGGAATGAATTCCTGGAGTTCTTCAGTACATGTGTTTGCATATTCAAATATTTTTTCTTGCTTAAAAGTTCTTTCAATTTGGAAAATGATTATTGACTAATTTTAAATGTAAAAGTACAGAAAATGTTGATAAAAGTACAACCATTAAAAGAAAGTGGTGCTGTTTGTAAACAGAAGATATTTGAAGTTATAATATTGATTGTCTTCCAAACAATAATTCTATTCTGAGTCTGATTTTCAAAATTTCTAGTGGATCCATGGTAACATTTGAACGTAGGATTTTATGAGACTAATGTTTGTCCCAATGATTCTTAAACCTTTAGTCTTAAAACTGATATATTATGCGTTTTTTTAATACTAAGTATTTTATACTTAGTATTAAAAAATATACCTGTGTTAGAATCGTATGTTTTGATCTTTCAGATTTTAATTCAGTTTTTTAGAATTAATTAATTGACTGTATTATTACTAGGTACCATTACAAGTATCTTCTGAAGATGATGCAATAACTGCTGCAAGTATTTTAGTATCTGAGAGCATTGCTCCTATATTCACTGTATCTTGTGTGACTGGAGATAATTTGGAATTACTGTATACTTTCTTAAACGTTTTGCCACCAAGTATAAGCCATAAGGAAAGGGAGCGACTCATGCAGTTACCTTCTGAATTTCAGGTATTTATGATATTTATTTAGATTTATGTAATAAAAATTCAGTGCTTGACTGCTGATACTTTGCATAATTTAAAAAAAGAAAAACCATTTATTTTTCATTCCTTATCAACATGGCCGTATGCATTTTAGATTAGTCATTCATTCTTCTTCTCCTTAGTTGTCTTAGATTTGATTTCTAATCTAAAAAAAAAGGAAATTACATAAAAATAATTGTCTGCTGTAAATATAATTTTTATATGTTAATGTTATAATTAAAATTTTATATCATATATTAAATTACATATTTCTTGCTGCACTTTTTAAAAGTACTTTGCATTTTCTCTAAGTAGACTTCTCAATTCCTAAATCAAAGTACATATTTTATATCAACTTTTAAACAACAATGCACAAAGGAATATTGTCTTAACACTGTAAAGTACATATCTTCTTCCAGCAGTTCTTTGCAAATTAAAATCAGATTTCATTTATTATCACCATGGTACAAAATGATTTCATTTTGTATGCCACTTTAGAGACAATACATATTAGTTAATTAAAATAAAATACATAATAATTGATTAAGTACAATTCTCAGTTATATAGATCTGCTTCTCGGGCTTTAGTTTTTGAAGAATTTTATTTTTTAATTTGTTTGCAAAAATTATAAACCAAAGAAGTTTTTGATGAAATTATATGAAAATTATGTTTTAGGGTAGATTTTTTTTATTGCTAAAATTAAGCAACAAAATTAATCAACTGATAGTTCTATTTTCTTGAAGTCAGTTCTTTTGCTTCAAGAAAAAAATAATATCTAATGAATATTTCAAAAATTCCATTTTTTATTTTGTGACTCAAAATAAAATATTATAAATTTATAGTAATTTATTTGATTTATTTTGATAGACTTTTATTTAAAAATGATTTCATATATGTAAAAACGTGTTTTATGTAAAAAATCAATTTTTTATTGGTCCTGGAGAGAGGAGTTTTCCAAATTTACCTGTCCCAATTGGTGTTAAACTGAAAATTGCTGTTATAAAATCATGTCATGACTGTGATTATTCATAGGAAAATTTGATCAATTTCATTTGTATTTCATAATTTATCTAAAACTATTTCCTATTTCCAACAAATAAATTGAACAAATGTATGTTACATCCAATCTTTCCTCATACAAATATTTCAAGTAAAAATTGTTTAGGTGATAGGATATAAAATTGTTTATATTGACAAAACGTGTCTTCATTGTTCATCTGTATTTGTGAAATATTAATACTAATCATTGTTGCTGTAGTAGTGATCAATTAACATGAATATCCCAGAAATCTCAGCAGTAAATTTTAACTTGGAGGAAAACAGTAATAAGTATACATTTAGAGAGTATGAAACAGAAAGAACGGTTTTAGTTTTGTTGAAAATTGAAAAATGCCATAAAAAAGAACAAACATTGGTATATCAAATCAGCTTAACTTCTAAAAATGATTTGCATTGTACTGTGAGTCACAAGTCAATTGAATGCCAACAGCTTGTCTTCTTATCAACAATGTAACAACTATATATTGTGTTGTAATATCAGTTAGCAATGTCTAAACTAGTTGATAAGAACACACAAAAAATCAACATATTAAGATATTAAACATCATGTAACTAGATTAATATGAATAATTTGAGTTAGTCGACAATGTCACATTCATAACAATCATTTGTAGACTTTCTGATGGCTTGCACTTTTTCCTGTGTTTATATTCTCTGTGTTCAAGAAATGCCACCATTTTACAACAGACAAAAGTTAATAAAAATAGTTTTTCAAATAAGGGGTGTTCGTTCGGCTTCAAAAGTACCTGATTTTTTTTTTAATTTGTCATAAAAAATTAATGGTTTGAGATATATAAAAGCAATAAGTAGCCTCTGGTGGGGGAAACAAGCTTTTTAGAGGATTTTTTTTTCATACCTCAAGATGGTGTAGAAGTTGAATCATGATTATTATTGTCTGGTCACGGTTTCTCCACAGGAGAAAGTGCTTATATGCCCAATAGCATGGCCTTCAAGATCTCCCAATCAGTTCCCCGTAGATTTCTTTCTCAGAGTTATGTGAACAATATGGTTTATACAACTTTGGTTGGAGACCTCAGATCTTTGGAAGCGCATCATCACAGCCATTGTCATTGTGAGACAGGCATACATGGTAGGTAATTGCCTACCATCTTAATGTCGCTGTGACTACTGGAGTGCATGTAGAGATATGGTGATTTTTTTAGTGAATTTTGTTTAGTTTTTCTGTCATATAAAATTTTTGTTGAATCATTAATTTGTTTAGCCAAATCAAATTGGGTAGTTTGAACAGGGACACCCTGTATTTTGTGTAGATGTTTTGAAATAATTTTAAGAACTTTAATGCCTTTTAATCATTGTTTTTGGAAGAAAGTAGAAAACTCCTTTGTGATTAATTTTTGACAATCTTGATATTTTTAATAAGAATAAATTCAATAGTATACCTTGTAGGATTTAAAATTTGTTCAAAGTTTGCTTAATGCATGTCAGAATGAAAGTACAATAATTCATTGTACAAAGGATGCACATAGCATGAATTGCCTGTGCTCTAATAATAAAATCCTTGAATTATTTGACATCACATTGTTTTTAATATTTATTTATCATTACTGGTTAGGATTTTAATCATTATTACATAGTATGAACATAGCCTTACCGTGCTATAGTAAATGTATTACTCACAAAATAACAGAATTTTGTAAAATTACACGTCATAAACACTCATACAAAGCCTCATATTTAAAAGGTTGACACGTAATTATTTCTATATCTAAATTTCATCTAAAATAAGATTTTTTTTCTAGTGTTGATAAATTTATGTTAAAACACTCCAGTTAATCATGGTACTGATTGATTGATTGATATTTTTCTTAGTACTTAATAAATTAAAATTTTATACATGGCTTAATGAATTAATATTAAAAAAAATATCAATTTGAACAATTTGAGAGAAGAAATATGTTACATTTTAACATTCAAATTGTGTGATTTTATATTTGTGTAAAAACAAGTGAAATTTTTTTTATTGAAAACAAGTTTGCAAATTATTCATACTGACAAACACTTGAATGATTTTAAATTTACATAACAGTACTATTGTTATTTCCAGATATATTATTATTATTATGAATAGTTAAATATGTGAAATGAAGGTTTTTAATAATAAATTGAATATTAGAAATTGAATAACAGAACTTTAAACATTTTGAAAATGATAACTTTTAACCTTCTTGAACTAGAGTATAATCAAATGATCAGAACTTTATCATAGAGATAATTTATAATAATAAATATTTTCAGTAATTATTTGTAACCTTGAAACTATATATAAAAGACTTCTACAAAACAAAATAATTCAAAAGTAGCAAATTTAACAATTTTTGATTCCTCGTAAATGATAAATTTTTTTTTACTTTTTTACAGAAATTTTCATAAAAATTTCATTAATTTGGTTATTGGGTATTTGGAATTTTTTAATTTATTTTGTGAAAAAATCAAAATTCCAGTTTTCCATTTGACGATTCATGAAATTTTACTATGAAAATCATTACTGTTCTTCTTATTACATAGAAAAAAATGAAATAGGATTAAAATTTTTATTAAATTTTTATCGTGTTTAAGGATTATGAAGTGATACCTATAAAGGTATGATGTTAGAAGGAAATTTAATCATAGAAGTACCACTGTAGATTGTTTTGATTTACTGTGTGGTTTTTATAGATCACACTTTAGGAACCATTACTTTATATTACATGAAGTGCAGAGAATAAAATTAGGTTAATCCATTTACTACTAGAATATTTTGAATTAGACTGAAATAAATTCCAGGAGAGAGCGAGAGATTACTATTTGTAAAATATGAAAAGAGATCTGTATATAATTAACGTCATTTATTTGCTTTTGGGATGCAAACGAGTTCTCAAAATGGTACAAAATCGGTTACAATTATATCGGAACTTTCAGAATTACATTTAAAATTGTATAGGTGTATATAGTTACCAAAATAATTTTTTTCAGCTTTAAAAATTCAGTGTTTGACTTTTTTAATGAGAGAGTTAGTTTTCGTCGTTCAGTTACTTCATCAATTATTTTTTAATGTTAGAATAAAACAATTTATACGAAGTTTTTTATACAGATAAAATTTTATGTATTCTTCTTAACCAAAGCTAATTTAGTTAAACTTCAGGATGGACTTAATAGCACTTAAACATTTTTTTCCAGTTTTAAAATGTCTGTGAACATCATAAAAAATTTAATATGTTGTTAATTTGATATAAATATTACAGTTGAATGAGCTTACTTAGTTCATCTGACTACAGTTATAGTAGATCTCATTTCAATATTGTAATATATTAAAAACAAGTCTGAAAAAAATGGATCAAAGTTATTCTAAATATCTTTTAGACATGAAAATATTCTAAGTAGTAAAAAATTATTTTATCACCATTTAATTAATGCTATCAGAATTATCATGTTGTAAAATAATTAAGTTAGTAATAATTATAACTATAATAACATTAATTAATGAATCTTCAAGTTATACATTTTTTAAATTGTTTTAACTTGCCTTTTTAATATCTAAGTCAATAAAACCGCAATTTCTATCAGTCAGTCTTATTTAACGCACTTAATATGGATCAGGTATTATTGTTGGTACAGGCAAAACCCAAAGTAATTACAGTAAGTGGGATTCTACTGTATATGCAAGATGGGGCATAAACATGTGACTGTTTTTATTTTGTTACAAATTTTACCACAAGGCTAGTGGTGATATATATTCTAATAGCACGCTTCTTGGAGTTCAGCAGTCTGTACGGAAGCATTCCTCTAAAATAGAAACATTCATAAAAGCCAACTCTCACCACATGGCCACGAGAGTTTTGGTGACATTTTACACACCCCACAGCCCTTCGAGAAATGCCGTTATGGAGGGTTAGGAAGTGTCTCGAAGAAGGTTTCGCATGCAATTAGGACATTCCACAGAACATCCTCTGCCAAGTGACGAGTTTCCTTCCAATCTCGATGGAACGGCATTGTTTGGAAAATAAGAGCAATTGGTTTGTGGGCATTACGACATAATCAAGGCACCATCTTAATTAAACTCTGTTCCATTGGGTGTCATTTTGTGGCAAATAAAATCTGTCATAAAATATGTTAGCGCAAAGATTTTTCAAAAACCTTCCGGTGCTTATGCCCTACCTTGTATCAATTATTTTATAGTAATATAATAAATTTCATGGTATACAGTATTTGCTGGTATTGAGAGTTAAAAATATCTGAAATTAATCACATTTGTATTTATCATCTTTTTGTTTATAAACAATTAAATTTAATAAATATTTCAAATAAACAGGAAATCTCAGGTTTTTGTTTAGTTATATTACAGAATAACTGCAGTAAATATTTTCAAATAAGTAAACTTCGAAAGTATTAACTTATACTTTACTAAAATACTATACACCTATGGGGGGAAATAGTAAAGTCGGTATAGTTATAGATGTACATTATTAGTAGTTACATTATATGCTTATACAAGTCGACCCCCCTATAACACTGTTGATTATTCCGTTTTATAAGAATTCCATATTGTACGAGTCACTTAGATTTTACAAATATGTGTGCCGGGCTGTAAACGGCTCACGTATTTGTAAAATCTAAGTGACTCGTACAATATGGAATTCATATAAAACGGAATAATCAACAGTGTTATAGGGGGTCGATTGTACTACTATAGTTTAGTAATTAGTAAATTTATATCTCATTTTTCAGATTTAATTTTAAATTCTGTTAGAGTTATATGCATATTTATTAAGTATATAATAAGTATTGTAATCATCAGAAATTTGTAAAATGACCTGCAAATATTCCTATTTATTTACTTTTAAAAAATCTGATTTCATAGTTGATTATAAGAACGGTAGTTTTTCGACTCTCGGTGGGATGTAACACACACACTACACTATTGTACACATCACACATTACCCAGCGTACAGTGTATTAACTCCTGCAAACAGCCGAAAAATTACCGCTGGTATATTCACCTAAATTGACAGAAGAACATAAAACACCTTACCGATCTTATTGCGTGTTTTTAAACAGAATATTTTATTATAAATAGGGAAATTCTCCCTGTATAAATATTTTTTATTTTTCTCCGTAGAGATTTCGAGACTTTCGAAATGCTACTACGAATTTCATCATTTCCCCTTTTCTATTATCATTTTCAGATGCAAATTCCTTCTCGTTAATTGTATTTAATCACAGGAAACAAAGTGTATCACTTACTCATACGTTACTTTCTTTTTCATTTGTAGATCGACGAGACCTTCAGGGTGCCGGAAGTGGGAATAGTAGTGGGAGGATTACTGACCAAAGGAATGATTCGCGAAGGAGACCAGTACCTGGTGGGCCCCGCCGACGACGGAAGCTTCTATCCCGTCAGGGTCAGTTCCCTCCACCGACACAAGGTGCCCTGCCGGGTGGTCAGGGCCTGCGAGAGCGCCACCCTGGCCCTGAGTAATCCCGAAACCATAACGCTCCGTCGAGGCATGGTTCTGACCACCAAAGATTCGCTTCCACCCATCTGCGTGTATTTCCAGGCGCGAATCCACGTGCTCTTTCATTCCACCATGATATATTCGGGCTTTCAAGCCACCGTGCACATAGGAAACGTGCGCCAGACCGCCACCGTCATAGCCATTATGGGCAAGCAAGGAATAGCAACCAACGAAACGGCATCCGTGATGTTTAAATTCATGAAACAACCGGAATGCGTTCATCCCGGTTCCAGGCTGTTATTTCGCGAAGGTCACACCAAGGGCATAGGTCGGGTCACTCAGGTTTTCGCTTTCGATGACGGCAAACCTCTGCGCGAGGAAAGAGTGTCTTAAACGGAGCACGCCACACCATCTCTTACTCGGTATACAGTATACATAAATATATATATATATAATACGTTTTAACAATGTCTACACGTTGAACAAATTTCGTTTCGCCCTCTACTCCCTGTTAATTTGGATTTTATCACGCTTTTAAACCGTGTACAGTTAGTTGGATGAATTTCCTACCTGTATATATTTATTTTTAGTATCCGAATTTGTAATGAGGGTGCCCATCGACGATCGCACCTTGTTTACGTTCTTCGAAACCAAAATTATGTAAATAACTATATATATATACACACACACACACACTTCTATTGTTTTATAAAATTCGTCGTCATAGAGCTATATAAATGTGATTACCGTCTTTCTTTTTAAATTAAAGAAATGTTGAATTAAAATTAAATTTCATTGTGGTAAATTTTCACGTGATCATTAATGAACTTTTCTAACGGTCGATGCAAAATTATGTACCGTAGGCCTTCGGTTTTACCAACCTCGATATAACGGGTCTCGAAAACAATGGAGAGCCTGCTCGAAGGGTTGGTACCAAAGCTTTTCCTCACAGACAACGTTGCTGAAATTGTCGCGACAGTGTCAGACTTGGATCGTTAGCGCGGTATTCGGAGTTTTCAGAATGTACGTAGTACCCGTGTTATTTTACAATGTCGGATTTTTTGGGTAATGATTTGATTAATCAGTAGTTTTAAACGAGATTTTCAGTTTGTATTACTAAGATGCTGTGGAAACTTTCCCACGGCTCATCTTGTATCGAAGTAACCTCTTTGTAATGCGAGACACGAACGAAAGCTAACGTAACACGTCATACAGTAGTACAGTACGTCGTCGTCTCGAGATGTCAGGGCGCAAACTTTGCAGGCCCCCGCTAAAGATGAGTCCAAAAAAAACTTGCGTACGTAAATATAACTTCTATTTAGCGCCACCACTTGTTTGCCTCCGAAGTTGGCGCTAAACATAAGGATCTTAAAACAATAAGAATTGTATATTATATATTGTTTCAATGCAAAATCATTCGGAAGGATTTATGAAGAAGAACCGTTTACGAGAATGTCGCTATATCGTGGTTTAACTGCATTCCATTCTACTGTGTAGGCCTAGATCCTTCGCCATTTTGGTTCCGTAGCTCTTCGTTCCTGCATAATAATTCATTCAAAGCCGTAATACCGGTTTAAACAAAAGGAAAATCGATTTTAAAAAGTTAAATACGAAACATTTAAATATTTCTAGCAGATTTTAACGTTGAGCATTGTTTTAAGTCCATCTTCTAGAAACATTTTATCATCGTAAGTAAATATCAATAACGTTCGTATCATTTATTTTGCCAAAGATTATCGTTTTGTTTAACAAAGATTAAGTCTCTTCTCTGTTTTGTGACGTCACAAGCTTTTATCTGTTCGATTGGCATTTCTTCGTTACGATTTCGACCCCAAGGACTTTCGATCCCTGTTCTATTCGTGTGTCTTTGCATCCTCTTTCGAATCTCAATATCGAGAGCCCACGCTGGTCGAGAGAGCGAATTATATAAACGGGTGAAGAGGTTTGTGTATTAAACCCGTTTGCACCTATAATAATTAAAAATATAAAAAGTTTTTAATAATAAAATATAGTGATATGGCGCCAAACGCAGTTTTAAATGCCGCCGGGAAAGTTAAGCAACTCGTTGCTGGATTTTTTTTAAATTACAAAAATGAGTCCCGGAACAGAACACCGTCGATGAAAATGTTACATTTTGAGGTACATTAACAGGCCTCTTAGGGATTGTTTACGTGCCACAATGGCGGCAAAAGGGACGAGGCTCGATGCATTCGTACTTGAAAACTTCCAAGACGAATCTGACTCGAACCTGGACAAGAGTGACCAGTGAATTTAGACAGGTCCTACGGTTGTTAGTGTTTAAATTACGATAAAATTAGCGTACGAGAAAATGTATAAAACTAAGTTGTATTATTCACAGATGTCTTTTGTTACGATAGCCTTATCATCAAGGTTCAAGAAGAATTGAGCTGGACCTCAGCCTCTAAAAAGCCTTGATGACGAACGACTCGTAAGAAAAACCTACAGCAACCTGGGCCTCATTAACTCATAGGCATACCCATCCGTCCTCGGGCCTGGAGTTAGGGCCTTCATCGCTGCTCATTACTAAGATTATGGCCCAAAGACCGAACGGTTAAGACGCTAACCTATAGTTGTGGAGACTCAGGTTCCAATCCGGAGGGGAATTTTTCATGGGATAAAATAATGCAATAATTAATAGTAATTAATGATTGAAAAATATTGTGTGCCGATTTTCTTGTCCCGATTTATCTTCTTCGTCGTCTCATTTAGTGGCGCAACTAACAGGCCCGCAAGGTCTGTGATGAGAGTGGGCTTCGATGTCAGATTCGGCAGAATTCCTGCATTTGGCCTCCCACCTCAGTTACCCTACTATCATTCCATTCTAATAAGCCCACTAGTGACCGCGTGGATAAAACTACCAAACGGTGGTGAATCTCATTGCCTGACTAATGAGCTTAGAGCATAAGTTTGCGTGTCTGACGCCTAAATAGAGGATCTTCCTAATTTAGATGAGACATCTCGCTTGGCGGATTACTCTAGTGTTGCGTTATATTAGCCTATTAGTCAAACCAAATCAATTCCTAATTAATTCGGGTCAGTCCGAGTCTTTCATCTTTGTGCATGTTTCCTATTGTGTTCTCTTGCTTTATTGGCTGTTCTAGTAGTGTTTTCTTGGCACGTCCCTCGCCTTTATCCATTTTATACGTCCAAACCACTCTAAATATGTCTTTTGTCATTCTCTTCATTCAAAAAATAAAAATTCTAATCGCGATTCCGGATAGAAGAGAATACAAAATGTAAACAGAGAAATGATTGAACCATTTTTTTACATCATAATCTTATGATTCTAATAAAAATCCACACACTATAACAACGAGACTTATTTATTTCATCTTTCTATTCATCTGTTTCTTCGAGAGTGCAAAGCATAACCTCTAATCTCTAAAGAAATTCACAGTCGAAACTGTTGTGTGATCGGATGGTGTGTCGAATATTTAGTTAATTTATTATTGGAATCATTCATTGATGCAATTAACATCGAGAGAATACACCAGGCATGTCATTTACATAGACAGGCCTGATCGGAACTTCGGAAGCCTTTCGGAACCAAGGAAACTCGAGGAGGACATCAAAAGGCGGCCAGCTATTAATGAAGACATGACACTACTACAAAATGTAGGACACGTTATCGGTAATTGAAACAAAGTCACTTCACGTGTACAACACCTAAATGAGTGCTAGTTTCCCACAGAAATCTAAAAAGTCCTCCGTGAGGCATCCTCTTGGCAGGCCTCTCACGCGTTACATTATCTTATTCCCTCGAACCAAACTTACACAGCCGATGAGTAACGAGGCCCGAAATATCCGAGTCGGTCCATCCACGAAAATTTACAGGATTTGACCCGAAGCAATTAACAGACGGAAGAACCACCGCCCAGAAGTTCGTTTTCACAGGTAAATAATTCGCCATGTTTAATAACTGACGTGGTATGGACTATAGATGACTCGAATTGTAAACCATGAAAACATTATTTTGACAAAAATCAAGATGGCTGCCACGAACCTATATTTGTAAGACTTTAATACTGAAGAATGTGTGTCATCGGCTATCTTCCATGTAATTATGTGTAAAATCAGCTACAATTTTAAGACAATTCTGATTTATATAGCGTGTAGTGTATACAAACAGCAAGATAGAACCGTCTCCTTCGAAAGCGTAAATCGCGTAAACCCGACCTCCAACGATTAAATATAATAAAGTACACTCGTGTCCTCAATTGTGCACTCGTGCACAATAATCCACTCGTGTCCTCAATTATGCAATACACAGATTTCAGCACTAGGGGTAGCTATGGAACTTGGATCCACATGTAAATCAAGGACACGAATAGTAACACCTGAATAGAACCAGTTTCCATAAAAAGTCCTTAACAGATCGCCCAAGTATCGCGTTGGCTAGACAAATAAACCAATCGATTCATTCCTACGAGCTAGAATATACTACATAGAGTGGTTGTAGCGACGCCATGTTGGAAGAAAAATATATATACACGTCCGCCATTTTATTTTTAGTCAATTGTGTTGTGTAAAGGCAACGAGCTGGAATATTCTAACTCGTGTAAAAGTGTGCAAAAGAAAGAGAGTTTTAAAACAATTCACTTTATTTCGCCTATTTAACAATGCATTTCGTATTGGTAATTTTCCAATCCCTCTTCGGACTCAGGGCTTAAGTGTCTAATTAGTTCCTTATTACCTGGTATAGACTTCGATGTTTTGACTTAAATTAAAATGGCGGTCGATAGTATCCGTCGTTGCCACCAAGAGCGCTGTAACCATAACCACATCCACCCCATGTGGTATATTCTAGTTCGTTGATTCATTCGTTACAAATGAAGTTTTCACTCGACAATAGATACGGTGAATTGTTGTGTGACGATCCCCCGACTTTACTTTATTATTTCATTTATGTAATATTAATTTCGAGTAATATTTGCTCGTTTTCGGGTGGATAAAACTTCAGCGGTGTGCTGTGACATTTGATGATATACCAGTAAATTCCTGTCTGTTGGTTTGTTATAAATCTACTCGCGATTGACATAATGGGAAGAGGGAGGCCTTGGCACAAGGCAACGCAACAAGTGGGCAGTGTGGCAAACGGGGTGCCTCCCGGAACTTTTATAAAGAAAACTCTCGGTCAAGTACGAACCCGCCACCTATTGTTCAGCGGTTTTAATCACTAGTTCAATGGTGGGCTGAAAAAACAATGAATATTTTGCTTTAATTAGTAAATTATTCATTCAAAGAACGTATTTTCAGTTCGAATTTCAGCAACTCCAATTTAAGTAGAAGATAAGGAATGAAACAAGAAGAAATAATACTTAATTGGATAGACTTTGAGTAGACCTTGACACAGAAAAGTTTAACAGTTCCCCCAACTCGATTATCGAGTGTGGCATAAAAAGGCGAGTCGAAATTTTCGATTTCATAAGAATAAAAGTATTATTTAATCGAAATTTTTTAGAGAAATTCATCAGATAAACCTCTTATCTCTTCCTAGAAAAACGGGGATTTGTTTATATAAAAAAGGATCAATCGTCGACCAGATAAGGACTCTTCTTTGCCGTGATGAAACGTAACTTATTATGTCATCGTTGGAAGATCTTAAATAAATATAAAATATTTAAAAAAATATTTAAAATATCCTTAAAGAAACATTGTTTCGAAACAGAAGCCCGCAGACATCTTTCAATACGAATCTAATTGTCCATTGATACTGTAATTTACGGGTCATTCCGTCCCGCAAATAGATAATAATGAAGTCATTTTTTACCCGGCTTAAAATGAATAATTATCACCACAATATGTTACTTCATCACCAGTCAACAACTGTCCTTGAGTCGATTTTTTTTTAAAGATTTTAATCGCGGGCTGAAAAACAGGTTTGTAGACGATGTAAAGCGGGTTTATCGATGTTCCTTCAAAAAATTCCCTTTGCTCTTCGTATCTGTGGGGGCCCGGAAATTGGCAACACTTAAATTTATCTTGGTATCTGAGATAAACTAAGATGGCGGCGCCCCCGCTTGTTCCGGAAGTACACGTGATAAATCAGTCGCGCCCCCTTATACACCTCTCGGTGCCCCTTACCTGTCCCACATTTGTGCCTCTGGATCCGGGCATCTTCTCTATAGGCTTTACTGCAGGCCGTATTAATAATACAGTCGACCCTCTATAACACTGTTGAAAATTCCGTTTTATATGAATTCCATGTTGTACGAGTTACTTAGATTTTACAAATACGTGTGCCGGGTTGTGAACGGCTCACGTATTTGTAAAATCTAAGTGACTCGTACAACATGGAATTCATATAAAACGGAAAAATCAACAGTATCATAGGGGGTCGACTGTAATTGCCCAATCAATCCTCGATAATTTAATGGCTGCACGAAGGGCCTTTTCCTATACGTGTATTCTTCCTCTCGTAATACCATAAATTAACCCTTCGTTGCGGGCATGCCAATCCACCATGATGTAAAAAAGGGCCCTCTTAGTACCCACGGGACGGGAAAAGGGCCCAGTCGTACGAGTAATGCGTAACAAATTAAATTATTGGTTTTTTTTGGAGGTTTCGCGTAGGGCGCGAATTTCTATAATCTGGTGAGTACCGGTACATTCAGTCAAATTCCCTAAAAATTTAGTGTATTTCATTCGCAATTATTTAATTAATAACCTATATAGGCCTATAAAAGTCCCCGAAGAATGTCCGCCGTTTAGAGGTGGCCGTCATTAGAGGTTTCGGTCGTAATTCCTTAACAATTATTTTAATAATTTAAAATTCTACAAATCGTTACATTAGCAAATTTTTTAGGTTTCTCGAAATCCATTTTGCAACCGTAAACGGGGGGGGGGAGAAAAATACATATCGGGGCCCCGCAATAAATTATTATATTAATTAAAAGAAATAAAGGGGCCTCTACTTCTCGAGATCCAGGAAAACTCGCTCCTTTTTCACCAGGATAAGACGTAGAAACAGAACGCGATTTAAGCATAGGGCCTAAAAGAGGCCCGTATTATTAATTTTTCTAAGGGTAGAGCCAGGCCCTAGGTTATCTGTAAATAAAGCTCGGCACGGGAGCCTCGCGACTGTTATCCATTTAGAAACCTTATCCGAAGGTTATCGGTATGTTAAAATAACTATAAAAATCGATATATTTATAGAATAATAATAATAAAAAAAAACACTTCGTCACCCATCAAACCCACTTTCCACGGGAGCACGATCGATAACACCCATCATCCATTCAATTACTCGTGTCGTAAGAGAGAGTCAGGCGAGTTATCGTATAGCCTGGTGTTTGTAACACAGTGAGTGAACCGTGGCTCAGACGAAATAAAAACAAGAGGCAGGCCATCGACGTAATTAATGACAACTCCTGTCCAAATATTAGTAATCGTTGGTGTATCTTGTTACAATTAAGGAAATGAAATTTAATGTGACGTTTGCGAAATCGCCCGAAGAAAATTCCGAGAAGATTCGTTCCGTTTCTGATTAATCCGTGCGGAAGTTTTTATCAATCGGTGGCTAGAAAATCACTTATTTAGCATTTAATACGCCGTCGGGGCCCTAGATTTATAATTATCGAACCCCCTAATAGTGTCCGGAAAGGCCAGAGCCAGCTTTTTCCCATTATCGAGTTCTTTCTGGTGTCTAGCGAGGCCCTATTCAGCTTTGTAACGTTATCGAACCTTTTTTTTGTGACTAGGGAGGCCCTATTCGGTTTTGTAACGTTATCGAACCCTTTCTGGTGTCTAGCGAGGCCCTATTCAGCTTTGTAACGTTATCGAACCTTTTTTTGTGACTAGGGAGGCCCTATTCAGCTTTGTAACATTATCGAATCCTTTTTTGTAAGTAGGGAGGCCCTATTCAGCTTTGTAATGTTATCGAACCCTTTCTGATGTCTAGCGAGGCCCTATTCAGCTTTGTAACCTTTCTGGTGTTCGGGGAGGCCCTAGCCAGCTTTATACCATCGGGAATTTAATATCGAGAGAGACACGAATAACTTATCATATTGAGGCCTCCCGATACACAATAAGTAGTATTAAAAATTACATATTTTTAAAATAAAAGATAAGATCTTTTTCCGTTAAAACACGAGAAATTCAAAACAATGAATAATCAATAATAAATATTTTTCAGGCATCCCGCGGCGCCGGTGGTCCCCCGAGGGGGTCAGAGGTCCCGCCCGCCTCAATATTTAGTACAGTACAGAAATAATAATTCGAAATTCAAGATATTATTTACTCGCGTAATTAAACACCTCGAATCGTCGGAAATTACGAAATTTATTATTAATTAATCAACAGAAGCGAACGGTAAACACACATACCACGTGTTTCGGATCTAGTTTCCATAAGACCCACCACCATTTCGTTCGATTCTACCATAAGACAAAACAAATAGGGAGCAGTCACGTGCAGAGCGACAACCTTCTTTCTCGGAAGGGAGGTAGGAAATTCGCTCTAACTCCCTATCACAAATAGGAAAACACAAAGAAAACAATTTCTAGTGTTTTATTCACACCCCATTACGTTTATTAATTAAATAAGCGTGTTTTTTTCTCTCTCTCTCTCTTCGCGGATTGCCTCGGTCTATTGACAAATTCGTTCCGTATTTTTTAAATAGATAAATAAATAAAAATCGATACGTCACAGGAGGTAATTGTTTTCGAATTTAAAACAATTTAACCTATTTAACCCCGTCACACAGGGTTAAATTGTTTCGTTTACGTGAATAAACACCACGTTTACGACACTTCCTTACGTCCTGTGTCTTCTTCTATTGGGCGGTAACGCATGTAAATCGACACTACTGGGGGGTGATGAGACGTGGGCGATTTGCATGAGCGGGCGACCTTCGACCTTTCCTAAAATACTCGCATCCCGGAGAAAAATCGTTAATTTGTTGGGAAAATACGAGGCATACGAAACTGCACGAGCGGTTGCATCATCCCCTTATTGTACGCTCGAGCAATTTAATAGAGAAGAAACTGCGCCTGTGCCAAGGGCCCGTTACCAATGGCGTGGTCGGTGTCGGAATGGACATGCGCAGTGGATGGAAGTTGCCGGTAAGATAGACTACAGCTCGCGAGCCGGTAGAAAAGCGCGTGGGATTTAGCGCTAGTCGTCACGCTAGTCGTAGGGCCTCACCGAAAGAGAATTATGGCGCAAAATTCCCAATACGATGAAGTTCCTCAGCAGGAATTAAAGAAGTTGTCGCCCAGGCAACAGGAAGATGGCGTGGCACAGAAGATCAAGCCGGAATCGGATGTGATATGCCTGCAACCGAAAATGGGACTGCTGAATGGCATAACGGTCATCGTGGGTAGTATTATCGGTTCTGGTATATTCGTGTCGCCCAAAGGTGTGCTGTTGGGTACGGGCAGCGTGGGCATGTCCCTGGTGGTCTGGATGGTTTCCGGTGTCTTCTCCATGATCGGCGCCTACTGTTACGCCGAATTGGGTTGCATGATCACCAAAACCGGCGCCGATTATGCCTACATCATGGAGGCTTTCGGGCCCTTCGTGGCTTTCCTTCGTCTGTGGGTGGAATGCATGATCGTCAGGCCCTGCTCGCAGGCCATCGTCGCCCTCACCTTCTCCTTCTACGTTCTCAGGCCCATCTTTCCCGATTGCGAGCCTCCGGACGAAGCCATCAGGTTCTTAGCCTGCATATGCATCTGTAAGTATTAATTAAATTCTTAAAATACAATTAAACTCGCGATAAATATCGACGTAAGTTATCCTCCACCTTTACGTTAGTCACGTGACTGGGTACATTCTACCGGGGCCCTAAAGCCGCCCATTAAATTAATCTATTAAAGGAAGCGAATATCGTTTAGGGGGCTGGGAAATTCGCTTCTTTAGCCTTTCCCCGCAGGCACCCTCCGATTTATAACGTAATCGGGGGTGCACCGGGGGAGGGGAGTGAGGAATACCCCCCCGAAATCTTTAGTTTAGTAATGGGTTTTTATGGGAAAATTTACAATTTCTGGTCAGAAAAATCACTGGTTTAAGCCGACCCCCCGCTGCGGAACTTCACTTCCTGTGACCTTGACACCGAACTTTTCTGTACAAACCCGCGATATGACACCCAAACAATTATAGTAGAGGACGTTCGAGTCAAACACAGCCCGGGGCTATCACAATATAAACAACAGATTCTGTATTGTATATATCCTTTATCTTAATTTATCGGGACGAAATCAGTGCCTAATAACACGAGAGTGATGCTACGACCTTTTTAAACTACGTCATTAACGACATCACACGGACACGCGGGTCATTATCCAATTAATACGGAGCGCTTCCCCTGCAGTTGTGTGTGTCTGTTTATCGGCCGTAAAATCTTTTCTTTTCGTCAATCGTGCGCTTCCTTTTTTCTTTTTTCCTTAAATTGAAATCTGCGCGGCTGCCGAGTGAATATTTCCGACGTATTTTCTTAGCAATTAATGTATAATTTGGGCAGGTGTTGTCGCACGCGGCGACATATGGCTCGACAGATGTTGCTTTCCTACCATTGTACAGAAGCTCCTGCAAAAATTTCCCGTTTTAATTCAAGTTTTCTGTAAAATTCTATTGTTTTAATACGAATCTCCTGTAAAATCCTACCGATTTGGCACTCATCTCTTGTTGAATCCTACCGATTTTCTGTAAGATCCTACTGTTTTCCTGTTAAGTCCAAACGATTTGGCACTCTTCTCTTGTTGAATCCTACCGATTTTCTGTAAGATCCTACTGTTTTCCTGTTAAGTCCAAACGATTTGGCACTCTTCTCTTGTTGAATCCTACCGTTTTCCTGTAAAAATCCACCGTTTTTAACATACATTTCAATGCAATATCTTTCCTAGATTTATGTAGGAAAGCGTTTCCGTTCTATTTATTTTGCTTAATCATCCCGAAACTCCTGAAGGATAAACGGATGAATTTCTTTCTTATTCCACATCACCGTCCACTAATCTGTGTGCAGAGACCAGGGACGTTAACTCTCGTGTCCATGATGATTAACCGTGCATTAAGATGATTTTACGCCTTTCACGTCCAATCAAATACTTCAGTTAAACCTACTTTATGATGATGATTTTTAAAAAGTGCAAGCTCCGTTTAACTTGAAAGTCTTTCGACGTTGGCCCGTGTTTTTTGTAAATGTTTTCGTAAAATTTGGGAGGATGGGGTGGTCCGAAACTCGATTAACCGTGTTGCGGTGTTTGTAATGTAAGTAAAACCCTTCGGGCGTAGACGTAATCGGTCGAACAACCCCCGAAGTCCGTTGTTTGGGGGTTATTTTGTACGCATTTTTCCTTCCCTAAAATGTGGTCGCCGTTTAGAGGTTGCCGCTACCGGAGGTTCGACTGTGTTATCAATTATCAAAGGTCGCTTTGATCTTTTCAAAGGATGAAAAAGTTCTGGTCTTTCGACACGGATCGATCGGTCTCGATCAAAGAGACGATCGATAGAGCTTTTGGGCGCATTTCTTTTTTTTTTGTTTTCGTGTAATGTTATCGCTTTGGGACGTCTTAAAAGTGACCGAAAATGAATTAAAAATCCCAATTACTTACGTTAAAAGCGGGTATTAGTAAATACAGCGATCGAAATAATACACTACACCTTTTCTTTTTTGTATCAATAAGCGAGCCGCAAAATAAATCGTGAGTCATGCCTTGTTTGCTGTTGATTTTGCTCTCGAGAAGGACACTTAATGGGGGGTGGGAGAAAGCCAAAAATAATAAGGTTTACGTGCCTCGAAATAGCTTTCTTAAAGAGGGTGATAACGATTTATAACGTAGTGTATACCCCGATATAACGTCGCAATAAATATTCTAATACGTAATTTGTCTAACAAAATGAGGCCTGAGGGGAGTTTTATTACCCGCAGGCCTGATTACTTTTGTTAGCACCAACGAATTTTTAACGATGTAGTATTATATAGATTCGAGTTCACGTTTAAATTTAAGTGTATTGAACTGGGTGTGACGACGACTGGTCTGGGGATGATGTCATATTAAGCGTGAATTTCCGGTTCCCACTGGACAGGTTTGATTCCGGAACCCCTTTTAAAGCGTATTTTTAAAAAAGATCTTTTTTCCCGACAGGTTTTTATCTGCGTTCTAAATTAAACACATAAAAATTTTAGTGTTTTAGACGGCAGACTTTTAAGTAATGGTCGTAAACGTGCACGCATTAACGGGGGAAAAATTTCATTTATTCCCGTCATTATGGCGAATAATATTCTTTCATATTCCCTGGTGTATTCCCTATTGTACTGTATACGTCCTTCTTTTAAATGGCCTTGTATTCTTTAAGTTATATTGTGGGTTGATGTAATATTAACCTTATTAACGGTTCTTTCTGCTCTACTTGTTATTAATTTACAATTGAAAGAAGGAAAAGAACACCTTAAATTTACTCTACTCTTCTTACTATTGTTCTTATACACGAGTAGAAAACACAGACCTCGATTTACCGCTTATGAAAACGGTACTAAACCGACTGGAAGCCTTCAAATAAAAATAATGAGACTGGCGTTATATCGAGGATTGAGCCGTGTAATTTCACGAGACTAATTTAGGGCCTTTGGCAATAAATAGCCGTATTAACCGGCCATTAAAAACTCGATGGCTGTAATTTCACTGTGTTTAAAGAGAAGAAACAAAGGATGTGTGAGGCGAAGACACATAAATCTTGTGTCGAAAAGTTCATCAGCTGAAGGCCCTACGATAAATGCCGGCGCTGTATTTCACTTCTAGATGTGTGTGTAGTGTGGAAAGACGATGATGACCGGTTAACGACCCGATGACTCAAACACGATGATAATAAATAGACAATAGTGCGAAAGAAGACAACAAAATAACAAGTCAACGTTACGCTCCGTCAATAAAATCTCCCCGTAACGACAAAAAAAAAGAATTTTTTTAACGCCCATTTTCTTGCCAAATTCTCGTTGCAATGGGCGAAAATTGGTAGGTTTAAGGACCTTTTTTCTTTCTTTCTTTCTTTCTTCCTTTGTATTTCTAGTGTGACTTTTAAACAGTACTTTAATCCCGTGATCCTTGACACGAATATCAATGTACAGACCTTCTAGAATATCTTGTAGAATGTCTGTCCGAGTTGGCTTTGAGATACCTGCGTGGGCACGAAACCGGAGACACCTCGTCTCACCTGAAACACGTGCGTTAATATCGTGTTACCTTTTAAAAGATCCACCAATTCACTCGATATTGCGCTCTCGTGCGAGGTTTTACTTTAATGGGCCAAAATACATTCCGGATGCTAATTAAACCGGCAGACATCTTTTTTTTTTGGGCAATTAAATTAACCCTGTTTACTCATTTTAGATAAGATAAGGATAAAATAACCAAAAAAGTATGCGGATCGCATTACTCGCATCAAAGTCCTCGTGTAATAACACTTGGCCTAACCCATATTTAAACTCGGGCTGGCCCAAAAGTCGGTTGACGCCAATTATTCGTTACGAAACTACACGGGTTAACTGATTTACGGTCCACCCTCTTTTATTAATGTATTTCACTCGTAAATTATTATTATTATTATTATCATCAACACTCGGCCATTTTTCCATTATCAATACGAGGAATTCGATATATATTTCATTCCCGTCATCGGAAGCGACCAAGGACGTCACCGAGGAAACCGGAAGAACGGAATCTAGGAGAAACCATCTTGAAAATTATAATTTTTTTTTTTTTTTTTTTTAGGGAAATTTCGTCAAAAGTTTCCCTCTCGCGTGGATTTCGGTTAATTACGTCGTAGATGCTATAATTGCCTCCTTTCTTTAAACACTACTATCCTAGTCACGTGACTATAAACTGTGCCAATTTGTCTTCGCTCGTATCTATCGAAGACTAAAAGTCGGGTCGTTGACTGTAGCTAGTTTCCGCGTTGCTGGCGTTACAGAATCTTTTTACTATCCTACACCCGGTTAGGTTATTGTTTTTACCGGAAGACACCACCAAAAAAATTCACAATAAAAAAAAAAGTAACCTTCGACACCCCTCGCACGCCGAGACGTAAAAGGGTAAACCACACATAAACACGCACAAAATACGTACTTACTTTTTCAAACCCTACGTAAGGGGTGGTCTAAAAGTCGGTTAACCGTTAAAACCTAGCGAAATTCACCGATTGCATCCGGTTAACCGCGCTCTCTGACACGTTTCCAAAGTAAATTACTTCGGAAGAGACGGCGATTTAGCTTCTTCCACGGTTAATCGATATTCGGGCCACCCCCCCCCCCCGTAATATTTTAAAATATTTCTTACAGAGTTCATCCCTCATCCCAAAGCGTAAACCTTAAATAGGTCATCGGTCGAGTTCACATCCACCATTTTCTCACTCCAGTCGAATATCGATTTCTAGATAAGTGTCCGGATAACCTTTTAATAATTTTCCTCCCTTTTTAAATAATAATATCACCCCCGTTTGAGGTTCCTAATGCGTCATTTTAAGACTTTCATTCGTAAACAACCCTTTATTCGTGAATAAACCGTCCCAAAATAGAAACTCTACTCTATTCTAAAAATGGAATATAATAACCCTTCTGTTGTAATTAAATTAAAATTTCTTTTGTTCTTTCTCACCCCCTCAGGTCTTCTAACTTTCGTCAATTGTTGGGACGTCAAATGGGCCACAAGAGTCCAAGACATATTCACTTACGGAAAATTGGGCGCTCTAGTTATGATCATAGTAACCGGCCTGGTCATGCTGGGGAAGGGTAAGTAATCATATATATTGTTCGGCACGCGCTGTATTGTTTTTGTAGTGTTCGTGGATGCGAGAAGAATCGATACTTTAACTATTTTCGCAGTAGTTTTTTCCGGATCAACACATCTATTTCGGGAATATACGCAGTTTCGGTTGCAGGTGTGATCGGTGTGGTGTATTAAAAACCACACGAGAGATCGAAGCCGTAAAAGTACTCTCCCCCCACACACACACTTAATGGCGTTCTCTGATAATTTGCCAGATGGCAAACTAATAAATTAATTTAACAATAAGGCTTTAAGTGTGGAGACGTGTCAAACAATGGAGCGTAGTAAGAGACTGCCGGGTGGCAGCAATCGTCGATAAGTCAGCCATTGATGAAGAAAATGGGTTATATCGAAGGCACCGGTTGACATTTTCAGACGCCCACGGAAAAGATGTCGTCTACGTAGGCGTATAGGAGGGAGGGAGAGTGATTTTCTATAATAGATAGCAATATTATAATTAAAAACTTATTAACGTTGCCAGGCCTTAGCGTAATAGAACCCATAATAAAATATGTGGTATGGTATGTGTGGTTAAACACCACGATCGATATTGTCTGTATCGATGATGTAATCCGAACGTATGTAGCTGTAATTTATAAAATATAATGTACAGTACAATGGCTACGTAACGTAAAGAGTCCCCCATTAGATTTGCCTAACGAACGAAATTTACGTCAGAATTACGTAACCCATTGTTTTTTTGTGTGTGTGTGTGTGCCGTTAAATCGATCATGGTGGTAAAATGAGGTTATTTAGAGCGTACCGTAAGTGGGTTTCGTCACATTATCTAAATTGAAAGTTCGATTATAATTAAGAGAAGCCGATACGACCTAAATAGGGGGATGTTCGAGTGTCTTCCTCATCTGGCACGACGTTTAAGTTCACGAACTCTCTCTCTTTCTCTCTACATTCATCCTTGCATTGTCTCAAGGTTGAGTCACTTGCGCAAGTGAAAAGATTCAATGCCAAATACCAGTCGTAAAGTTCGAAATTTTAGAAAGAATTGTCTCCTTTCCGAATTTGGCGAGATTGCGTTTTACGAGAAACACCAGAAATGCCAATAACCGTAAGTTCTGGTCGTTCACTGGGGCCTCTCGAAGGTCGACAGATGCTCCAGACACTACTTTTAGAGGCCCACGTTACGTTAAAGGAAAACGGAGTTTTTTTTTAAAATTGCATTTGTTTTTAAATAATAAAATTACGTTTTACTTAAATGGTGGAGAGCCCTATTTAAGAGGTCCACCGGTGGCTAAATAAGGCCCAGTTTCAGGTAGAAAATCCTCCAGGAAGTATCTCCTCCTTGGCACGCGGCCCGCGTACCGCTCTTCCTTATCCCGTAGATCAAACCCGTCTCTCCTTTTAATATTCGAGGGCCTTTCAAACATCAGGTCCCAGCTAAATGCGGGCCTTACTGATATCCCCGTTATGTCGAGAACTAATTTTTTTTTTCCCCATAGAAAAGTATCGTAATATAGAAACGCGAAGTACGAGTTAAGTTACTGTTACTCACCGCGGCCCTAGAGGCCTTCCCCGAATGAGGCCCCTTCCGAAATATTCTAACATCGAATTAATTTTCTAGGAAACGTCGGACACTTCAATTTCGACGACACGGAGTCGGACATTACGAAGATAGCCCTGTCGTTCTATTCTGGATTGTTTGCTTATAACGGATGGTGAGGACCTATTTTTAATACTTAATTCTCGTTATTGTTATTGCTTGTCTTCTAATTTAGTATATTATACCTTCTATTTTTGTATAAGAAACTGTTAATCCACAATATTTACCATAATGATGATAATTCGTGGATGATTTAACGACCGAACTAAGCACTCGGTGTATAAAAATCGATTAATACATCCTTCTCGTAGACGTGTCCTATTTAAATACCCACATACCATATGTGTTCTAATTGATTTAACAATAGAACCGTTAAACGAAAAAATAAAATCCCTCTCTCCGGCGAAATAAACCATTATTTAGCTGGAAAAGAAAGGGATTTTTACGTCGTTTTAAAAGAATTTTTCTTCTGTTAAAAGACAATACGCCAAGTGTTCGAAATATATCAGTCTGCAAGGTCGTAATTGCTCGTACTTTTCTCGTTTTCTCGAAATATCCGACGCACAGACAGACGTACAGATATTCGGTGATACACGCTTTATTTATAGAGACGTGTGTGTCATTCATAGTGTTCGTGTAGTGTATTACGTACCAATGTGGAACAATTGTAAATTTTAAAGTAATTTAAAAGAATTGGATGAAAAAATTCTATCTTAAACACAATGAAAACGTAAATTTTTCGCACGTTCCCGTGTTAAAGAATCGCGTGCCCATTAAAATTTGTCCAAAGTGGTATACGTAAAAGATCGGAAATGGCCTCCAAAATCGGGGGGGGAAGGCAAAGAATGGTAGGAAAAAAAAATCAATTACTCGATGCCATTGTAGAAGAAAAGACGTGGGAATCTGTTACTTGGCCTTGGTACAGTACCTCTGTGTCTCGACAGGAAGTGATAGGCGCAGGGTGCCATAAATTGAACAGCGGGTTCTTCGGGTCAATTGTAGTCAAAAATTATCCAATAAATATCTAACTTAACCTTAATTTTACATAAATTTATGGGTGTTAAAAGTGGGTAGCTGTTAGTGACGATTAATTGAATTGCTCCATGGACACGTGCGAATTTTATCGGCTTTTTTTAATATTTAAAAGTAGTTTATTTCTGGTGTATTTTAATTACTTACAGACACAACTACTGTGTTTTTACTATTGGAATTTTTAAATGGAGGAAACAGTGTTGAAAATAGCCTTATGGATTCTACTTTTCTGTGTATTAATCAATGGAATTTTTGAAATTTCACTGTTTTTAGCTGGTTTTCCGCTTTGATAAGTCACTAATTTAGAACAGATGCTGCAAAAAACCTGTAAAATTTTTATTATGAGAGGAGTTATTCTAAGAATTTAGGATAATTATTTTAGCTAATATCCTGCAGGATAGAATATCATTTCTTTTTTTTTTTANATTTAGAACAGATGCTGCAAAAAACCTGTAAAATTTTTATTATGAGAGGAGTTATTCTAAGAATTTAGGATAATTATTTTAGCTAATATCCTGCAGGATAGAATATCATTTCTTTTTTTTTTTAATTGTTTTTTGAATGAACAGCTGCAAAGGATAAAAAGTTAGTTCTTCTAGAAAGAAGACCTAAAGAAAATTTTTAAATTTTATTAAATTAAATGTTTTTATAAAAATTCAAGAATTTCATATATGGAAAAGTACAAATTACATGTATAATAATATACTAGGCTATACCTATAAAAATATCATTTAAAAATAGATAAAAGTAATATTGGGAGGTGTAAAACATTAATTTATTATAGCTTATGTTCGAGTAAATGTCGAACAAAAACAAAGTAACATTTCGTATAAACAATCATTTGTTCTTTAAACAAACTGATAAACTACCAACACCTTTTTTTTTCATATTTATTGTAGTTTTCCCAAGGTCTTGTTGCATAAAACACTTATAGCCATTACCGGCTTTATGAGTTAGGAATTACAAGCGTGTGGTATCATATAAACGGTTTTGTAACAAGCTATGGATACTTGTAACTTGTAATTTTTCTGCGGTGGGTTTGATGCCCTCCGTACGGGTGGCCGGGGACGGGGCCCGACCCCGACGTATCCGAGACGGTTCATCCGCGAAAAATTCCCTTAGTTGCTTGTCCGACTTTAACTTCTGGGTTTCTTATATCGCCCTAACTGTCCCCGCCGTCCAGACATCTATATACTGTATATACAGTTGTTAGAAAAATCTACAGAATGGCCATATTAATATGGGATTCTCATCTTGTTATTATTCATTACTAATATTTTTGTTCTATAGATAGGGCCTATATCTGTAGAATGCCTCCTAGAGAAATTGGGTGGGAGCTAATGTGTTTAAAATGACCTCGAGTACTACCCGGGTCCTATATCGGTGGGACGACAAGTTTTCCTTTCCACTACAGTATTTCCTTTGGAACTAGTGATTAGAATGGCAGAGAAAAGTATGAGTGAATTGGAGATAAAATGAAGTTAATAGAGCCAGATGTATAGACCACCTGTTAATAATTTGGAAAGACAATAGTGGAATCAGATCTGTGGAAGTAACAGTAAACTCATTGCAACAAATTAATAAAAAAAAATTTTAACTGTATAACAGTATCATTTTTTTGAATTGTAATAATAAATATAACAGAAAAAAAATAATGAAATTTACACATTAAATTTAGACATTAATAAATGCTTGAATCATATTTTTACTAAGATATTTTTAAAATCATTCTATTTAATTACATATTGTGAACGTGGAATTATAATTCAGAGAATGTTTTAGTTTAAAAAAAAAAAGCTAAATAATTATAAAAATTATCTGAATACATTTATATTTTACCCACTGTGGAAACGGTTATTTACGGCAGTTGTTGGCGTATCGTTGCAATGCATCGGGTTTTAGTACAGATGTGTTTATATTTATGGAAACGGTTGGATCATTCTATTTAATTATGCAATATTTAATGACATGCCATATTTAATAATTTTATACTTATATTCTGTATATATATTTCTTGTTTTTTCTGCAAAAATTCCTGTAAAGTTTTTAAAACTTCACTACATTTGTTTTCATTCTATCTACAATACTTAAAAATAAGTGAAAAAGTAAATTTAAAACTTGATAAACAAATCTCCAAAGTGACTAAGAGTCTGGAAGAACAAAAGAGAATTACAAATACACATATAACATAATGTTAAACTTTTAACATTAACTGATATCGTAGTAGTGATTCAGATAAGACACATGTAGCCAATCTTACAGTATTGTATTATGGTGCCGAGCTAGTACCGTGTACTTTTTGTTTGCCGAAAGCATCCGAGGCAATTATTGATATTCTTACTATTGTGAAATATATTTGAAACTGCCGAGCAATGCATAATTAGTAGTTAAAGAAACATATTTAATGTTTAGTTGAAACTGTATTTAATAATTGTGTATAGAATAGAGACTAAAGAACTGGAATAATTAAGTTAAAGAAATATCGGTTAATGAAGAGAAATCTATAATGTTAAAATTATATTTACTTTCTTTTTTATGAGGATTTTGTCTTCGGCACTTCCAAATCGCCCTACATTAGCACTGCAATGGCTAACTTACAGAAGTCATTAAACCTATCTTTTACCAAAGCCATTTTAAACAGTTTTACTAGGCAATGTACCTAAAACATACTAAAAAATTGTAGTATATCAACGGCAAAGAAATGAATAAATTAATGCTTTACAAAATAGCATACATTATCTTATTTAACTGTTATAAAAGTATATAAAAGTGTGATCGGTTATTTGAAATTTTTCCACCCTAATTATTTCGATAATTGACACTCGACTGTGTTTACTTAATTAATATTTTTATTTTATTATAATTTTTTGTACTGGAGTCACAAAAAATATGTTCAGAATGAAAAAAACCTTTAAAGTTACATAATGATAAAACTGAAACAACATAACTGTTATTATTTGTGTACAATATGTTATATTATTTTTAAGGAATAATATTATTACTATTTTTTTTGAAAATTGATAAGCCATATATTGGTGTGTGTGTTGTTCTAATAACATAATTTTTGCTAATTTGTAACTCTTTACCACAAACATAAAAACTTAAGAGTATGCTATATAAGGCAACAGAAAAATATTTATTTTCAGAAATGTTTTCTTTAAGAAAGTCAAAAACATTTCTGAGAAATAAATATTGTTTTAATTGCCTTAAATAAGCAATATACACATAAGTTTTGATATATAAAACTTTTTCAATCAAATATATTAGCTTGAAATATACACACTTGAGAAAAATTTTCTTTTATGGATGTAGAATCAGTCAATAACTAGCAAATAAAATATTATTTCTATTAAAATAAAGTAGTTCAATAATGAATTTTAGTTCTTTTATTATTTTTGTTTATTAAACAGATTATACTAATAAATAACATGACTATATTAATGTGTATATCTAAAATTATTATATACAACTTCATTACAACATGTCTTCTATGTAAAAATAATCAAAGTTCCAGCTTTGAATGTCCACCGAACACTGAAATAGTAGCAGAATAGGCTAGACTCGAAGACCCAGGATAGCTGACAAATCATTAAACTGTTCCTAGTAGTCAAATGATCTTGTTGCAAATTGCCTTAAGCAAAAATGCTATCCCATTAAAAGGTCTTTATATCCTGTTTTTCTTACGCTATCGCACGGTTGGTGGTCAATGGGTTTTGTTTGTTTTAGAAAGCTGTGCAGTTCTGCTATTGTTGTCCGTGTTTTGTCTGCGGGGATGGACGATTGTTTTTAGACTCTTTGTTTGCTTAATTTGTGTAAGAGAAAAGGGAAAGGGGCAATAACTTTTGCTATTTACATATAGTTGTTTAATTTGGCATTTCAATATATATCCTTTTTAATTTTATCAATTACATTTTGACTATCGCTCTTGGCAGTTTGTTCCAAATATCTGTGCATTGTAGATATTTCAAGTTTATTTGGATTATTTTTATTTTAAATGACGTTTAATACAGAATGTATCAAAATAGGAAATGTTGTCGTAATTACCTTTTACAAATATCCTGTCAGTTTACATAAGAAATTCAG